GGCACCTTTTTTGGATGGAACCTTGTAGGGTAGGCAAGGTGGGTTGTATGACGTGTGTGAATTCCGGCACCTTTTTTTTTTTTTTTAGAAAAAAAGCACTGCGTACATACATACATACATACAAAAAGTAGGAGCAACAACAGTTGCTGCAGTTTTGTAAAACTGTGGCAGCTTAGTGCCTATACAGCTTCTCACATATCTCTAATCTTATAATGGCTAGAGATTTGCTATTTTTTATTTGAAATTTGGAGATCTGGACTAATTACAATAGTGGACTCTTAAGAAGGTGACTGGGGCTAAAATGCATTTAATCCAGGACGGTAATTAACCCAGTTGTACACATCATCTCATAAAAGAAAATGAGACAGTAGGCAACAATGGCAGCTGTTAAAAATAGTTCCCTTTTTTTCTTGCTAACTACCCCTGGATCATCCAGCCCACTAATTTATCCTAGGTCAGTCAATAAACTAAAATTCTGGTAAGTAACTGATAAGCATCAAAAAATAATATGGAACTCACAAAACTTCAGGAGCATTTGGTGTCTTAACAGATGTTTCAGGATACCTTTTTCATACTGGTATTAACAATAAATAAATAAATAACCACATAAAACTCAGTCTGTTTATAAACTGATGAGAACAGTTGCACTATTAAAGCCATATTTGGCAGCACCCTATCTTAAGAGACTGAATAAATGGGTTTTCTATTATGGGAATATTTTCTTAGAGATTTTGCAGATTATATAGATTTTACAATTAAAAATAAATGCTTAAGAAAAATTCACAATTTGATTAACAGAGGAAAACCTTTTAAGTTGGTTATGGGAATGTTCACTAATTAATTAAAGTGGCAATCTTATGCATACATGTTTGTATGTAAGATCTAATATATTTGGTGCCACTCTCCTTTCAGTCATATATAGCTGATTTGGATATTATCAAGATAGAATCTACCCAATCAATGTCTGGAAACAAAGATCCAATTGAAGGTCCCCACCTATTAGGAATGCTGGCGGGAGGGAGCATAGGGGCATTCTCATCCTCCTGTAGAACAACTTGTCCAGGGGCAAATGTAGCCCCTTTTATTATGCTCCTCTGACTATTTCAAAAGCCCTTCAGTGATAAAGATGGCTTATTATGGTTGCCTGGGTGAAAAGCAGCATGCTATGAGGTTTGTAGCAATATTCTGATACTGTTATTGTGCTATTTTATGGTTATTGTTTATTGTATTTTGACTTGTAAACTGCCTAGATTTGATCAGATTGAAAGGGATAAATGTCATAAAAAATACATAAGAAAATAAGTAAGACTGTAAATGTGGCAGGCCTATTACTCATCAGACTTGGTATAATGGCTATTGCTACAGCATTTAAATCAGGGGGTAGTCAACCTTGGCTCTTTTATGACTTGTGGACTTCAACTCCCAGAATTCCTGAGCCAGGGAGTTGAAGTCCACGAGTCATAAAAGAGCCAAGGTTGACTACCCCTGAAATAGAAAGACTGCTAGGACAAAGCATATTTAAAAGAGAGAAAGTCCCTTTAACAGAGTGAGACATAATTCTAAGCAAGCATTCACAGCATTATACTATATGTGTTGCTGTGGATGTTTTGTACCAATGATTACATTTATCAAATTTCTGAGGTCCATATTTGTTGCATCCAGAGAACACTGAATACCCCTTTCAGGCTGGACACAAGAATAACTAAAAATGAGGTTAGGGCATGAAGGTGAAACTCCTAGTTGGAGCTCTAGTTCTTTCCTCCCAGGTTTACTTCTTCTAATAATGGCTGATGATTTTTCAGCAAGTTATATTACTGTCATAGAATAAAAATTAGAGAAATCTGAGCTATCAAAGGATTCACACAATTCTTTGATAGTACCATGCTAGACGTAGACTTCTGCAAAAATCCAGTGATGATGAGGTCTCCAGATGGAAGGGAACACTTAACCCAGGGAAGCAGTATCCCTAAATGAATGGCTGTAAATCGAGGACTACCTGTAATAAAGTATATATTTCTATATATGTGTTTACATTTATTAGTAGTGAACATTAATGATATTTTAGATTGGACATTAGATAATGTCATGTCTGTTCTTTGTTTGGTTGTTTTACAGCATAATGGCCAGCAGAAAGAAGGAATTTGCCTTGCAGGTTAGTATGAGATATTAGTCCCCCAGTGCAATTGTTCTGTATTTTCTGCTTGTATGAAGAGGACAAAAATGTCCCAGTACTTCTATATTTTTCCAGTGAAATCTACATATAAAACAGTAGAACACTATAGATTTCTAAATGACCAGTCTCCCAAATATGAAGTTATTCATTTTTAAGCTAATTTGATGATTCAGAAAAGAAATGCAAGTACTAATGTTAATCATGGCAGTGCAGAAATTGCTGACAAACTTCTACTTAATTTTCAGATTAAAAATAGATATTATTCTAATAAGGGCATTATAGTTTAACCAATGTTCTCATTTCAATGCAGGCATAATCTCTTGCTCAGTTTAACCTTCACGAAAAAGAAATTGTCCTTTAAACTCCTCTGTCATTGAGGTAGATAGTTCTACACTCTTATTTAGAGAATTGTGTCTGGTATATCCAGTTTGTTAAGCCATGGCTTGCTTAGCCATGATGCACTGATGAAACCATACTGGGCTGGGTTCACATAACTTGCTAAACAAAACCATATTGTGTTTTAGCACATATGGGTGAACCTGGCCCAGGTGTCAATTATTCAGGATCAGTCCAATATACATGCATTCTGACATTCATCTAAGCTACTCATGAAAATAATGTGAAGAAGAAAATCCTACTGATTTGTTTTAGTTATTGCAAACCCTTTAAGTAAGATGCCCTTAGTATGGAGCTGATTATGCCTCGTTACTCGTCCCCACAAATATTGTGGCTTTCTCCAAGTCCTCAAAATCTTCCCCAAAGAGAAATCAGATGTATTTGCTGTGCCACCTGCTAATATCTCATGTTAACAATTCCAGAGCAGATAACAATAAGAGAAGGCTAAGAAGATGAACAAACCTAGTAGTGTGATGGGCTTTTAGAGAATGTTGTGAAATAATGCAAAAGCTGTTTGTAACTCTAAATGTTTGTTTCCACCTGTACCACAGCATATCTGAAACATTCCTGATGGCATTTAGTAAATTTGTATTTGGATACACATTTAGGATGAGCAATGCATCAAGCAAAAGATGCATTAGAACAGTGGTTCTCAACCTGTGGCTCGGGACCCCATTTGGGGTCGATCGACCATTTCACGGGGGTCGCCAAGCAAGGCTGTCCGCCATTTTTTTGTCCGCCATTTTTTTTCCCCTTTTCCGGCGGGTGCCTTACCTCCCTTGAGCTGGGCCAGCTGGTGGTCGGCCTGCTCCGTCTCTGCCGCTTGCCAGCTACGCCTCGGCCGGCGCAGGGGGCGGAACCACGCATGTGCGGCGCTCCCAGACAGGGAAAGTCCTCGACTTACGACTGGTTGGGTAGTCCTCGACTTACAACCGGTTTAGTCCTCGACTTACGACCGGTTTAGTCCTCGACTTACGACCGGTTGGGGTCGCGGCATTAAAAAGGTTGAGAACCACTGCATTAGAATGAGTGGAAGGCCCTCTGCCTGCATCAGTCAGCAGCAGCCACAGCTTTTCCCAGGGCTGTTCAAATGCTTAAAACCCGATTTTAAACAGCATCTTTAAATTGTGACACAGAATCTTGAAAATTAAAAGTTGATCATGTGATAAACATCCCTATGTTACAGTTCTCTTATTCTGATAAATTATGGTCAGTACAAGGTATGATACAATGTATTAGTTTTTTAAGGTGCACATGTCTCTGTTGGCTTTGCTTCAACAGAGTAACAGAGCTATACTTCTGGAAATATTTAATTATGGAGTTATAGGAATATCTTTTGTGATTTCTTTATTTATATAAATGATTCCATAAGGGATATAATCTCTATAAATCCTGCCATCATGTGGCCAGAAGAAGAAATTGATTATTTTTCAACTCTGCCAACTATTTCTATTCAAGAAGACCTGTTGGTTTTAGTGAATTTTTCTGAGGTGACTCTGAACCAGCTACTTAGTGACCTTAAAGTGATCCGCCATATACAGAATGCAATATTCAGATTGTTAAAGCTTTGAGATCTGATGTTCTGAGACTGAACTTTTTTATTCAGAACAAAATTAATTGAACAAAAGTTCCTTCCCAGTGAGGAACATGGTGATGTCTACACCCACATCATCCAATAATATAACTGTACAAATAGTCTTTGCCTTTGATGCTTCACAAATTATTTTGCCACACTATATCCAGATTCCATGGGTCAGTTTGTAAGTAACATGTTTCTATAAAATGCTTAACCCAATTTCCTTAGTGGGTGTTTGGCAGCATACAACAATATTAAATTGCTCAAACCTCTCCATTTTATTGGAACATAGAACCACGGCTCATTTTCTACTTTTTATGTGCCTTCTATCCAGTGGTGGGATTCAACCAGTTATGATAAATCTAAGTTCTTCTGTGGCTGCTTGTGGCCACACGACACGTGGCACATTGTGCTGCTGCTACTGCTCGTGGCAGGATGCTGTGTGGCACTTTGTGCCAATCATGTTGGTACTTCCGCTCATGGCAAGACACCGCATTGCTGTTTGCAATGATCGTGCCGCTGCCGCCACTCACAGCAGGACACCACGCCCTTCGTGCTGATTGCACCCCTGCTGCTGCTCGTGGCAGGATGCCATGTGGCTCTTCATGCCAATTGTGTCAGTGCCGCTGCTCGTGGCAAGAGGCCACGCAGCGCATCATGCCAATCGTGCCACTGCCATTGCTCATGGCAGGACTCCGCTTGGCTCTTTGCACCGATCACTCTGGTGCCGTTGCTTGCTGCAGGAGGCCGCAAGGCTCATTGCGCCATTTGGCTCAAGCGGCAGGACTGGTGCGAGCAGCGCAATGTGCTGCATGGTCTCCTGCCGCAAGCAGTGGCACTGGTGGGATTGGCATGATGTGTGTGGCCTCCAGCGGCAAGCAGCAGCACCGGCACAATTGCAGCCGAAACCGGGGTCCTACTCCTACAGTGAAAAGATGGTTCAGGATAAATGACACAGCTGATGATGCTCAGATAAAAGCAAAGAAAATTGCAAGTGAGGATGCCAATCAAGAAGCAATATGGAAATATCTTAAATAATAGTTTTATTGTTTTTTGTCAGGTATTATTTAATATTTTTCATTAATATTTAAAAACGCTTTCTTATAATCTAGTTTTGTGTACCTCGTTTATTGTTCTTATTTAAGTATTAAATGCGTGAAATAATAAACTACCTTTTGGTATATCGTTTTTTCATACTTCAAACAGTCATTAGGGCAGAGAACCGGTTGTTGGATTGTTTGAATCTCACCCCTGTTTCTATCACATAATTCCTGCTGACAGACTCTCCAGTCAGTTAGGTAAGCAGCAGGAGGAGGTGGTTAGCTGCTGGATGGAAAGCAGGGCTTCTGGGAAGGGAAAATGTATTCTACGCTTTCAGTCACTCTTTCTCTTCTGTTTTTCTTGGAGGATAGCTTATCAAAAGCTGGCTAGTTGAACTGTTTCGCCCTTTTCAGGACATGCTTAGCTTAAACTTGTCAATAACTCAGAAAAAGTTGAGAAAAAGTAAAAACCTTTAATTTCCAAGACAGTGAGAATTCTGATACAACTCTATCATGCATATTGTGTTTCTGATAGCAATATAAGTTAATGTATAATTTGATTTTGATAATTACATATATGATGTAAATTTCAGTAATATAATTTCATTAGCAAGCTTTGATTTTGATATTTTTTCTAGTATTCAAGTCTACTAAACATTTTCTTAGCAATATTTATACTTCAGAGATAGATATTATTTCATCAATTTAGCGTTCGCTGACGAACAAGCATTTACTAAAAGTTCCATAGGCAGAGCCACACATCCAACTGTGCAATGTAAACTTTGTAACACAATAAATGTTTTATTATTATTTATGTTGAATGCCATTACATTCCATGTGATGTTTCTGAAATATTTTGTTCTTTTACAGATTAAAATACATATTTTATATTTTAATTGTGTTGCTGCCTTAATACAACAGAAATACTTGACCTGCAAATAACATTTTATAAAGTCAAATGTAATATTTGCTAATTTAGATTTGGATTGATTTAGCACTAATCTCTTGCTTTTACAATAGAGACATGGCTATTGCTAATCTTTCAGCAGCCTATCAGCTCCCTAACAGTAGGCTTAAATATATTTACTTTCCAATAACACTCTGGCACACAGTAAGAAAATGGTTCACAAATATTTTTGCTATGTATCCTAACATTTCCAATGATATTTTTCTTCATTACCAGTTTGCATTTTTGTCCAAATAATTTTTAATATGTTACTAAATTATGACTTCATCTTCTACAAGTAGTTTTTAGTAACACAAACATGCATTTTTTTACATATTAGCCCATCAAATCTTTCTTCAGGAAGCTATGCTTTAAAAAGCAATTTTGCTTTATTGCCGGGTTTCTCAGTAATATGGTTTAATTTTCACACAGATGGTTGTCAGTAATCAAGAACATTGGGAAGAATTTCTGGGGTCCAAAGGATTGATTGGTAAGATCTTGAATTACAATTATTTGATGGGGTTCATTTCTCATTTGTTCAGTAACATTAATGTTCAGTCCATTATAGTACTGTAGTATGAATCATACCTCTGCTAAGTCATGCTACACAATAATATCTCTGAATGAACATGCTAACAAATGGAAGAATTTCCTTGGCAACAGCAAGTTATAGCTAAACCTGAATGGCAACTCTCCAATTCTATTAGCACTTTGGGGACACCCATTTGTAGGGAGGAACATCAACAGAAAAAATGCTTCTTTGGGTCGAAACAGAATTTGTTGGTATTTTCTGTGGTATCTTCCAAACCATCAAAACAACTTCCTATCTAAAACTTGTAGCAAATAGAAAAGGGTGTCTGTAGGCATTTATTAGTTCTATCAGACAATTGTAATAGTTAACTCTTTTCATTTCTAGATATGTGCTTGATTTCTGGCATTATTCTGACATGCCACTGTTCTGCTGACACAGGTTAATTTCTTTGCAGTAGTAGATGCTTATCAAGGCTGGTGTGGACCATGTAAAACAGTTGTCAATCTCTTCAAGAAAATAAGAAATGAAGTTGGTGGTGACCTGCTGCATTTTGCTGTGGTAAGAAAAAGCTTCAGATCTATTAAAACAGTCATTAAATCCCACGGGCATTCACGAGCATTCCCAGAAGGGATCAAAAAAGTTAAGATGGTAAATGTACCATCTTGTGAGCAAATCTCCATCCCTTTTTTAACATGGGCCACGTGTATGTGAAGAGAGTCAGAGGATCAGTTATGCAATCACATTCACCATTTTGATTTCTTAATCTCCTGCACAGATGTTCTGTTCCAATCTTTAACAGACATGTAGATATAAAATGCAACATGCTGTAATTTACTTTATGGGGTGGCTATTTTTTACGGAGCCAGGCATCAGAAGAACACAAGCAGTGCCTTGCTGGATTGGACTCCTGGCCCATTTAGTCCAGCAGGTTATTCTCACAGTGGCCAACAAACTGCACAAGGAAGCCCATTAGTGTCCCAGTAGATAGTCTTTAGAGGCAGCCACCTTGCCATAAAGGTTATTAGTCCATGATCCACAACTCTGTTATGCAATGTACCATGTTATGTGATACTACAAATACAAAGAAATAAATAATAGGGTTACCAGTTGTGGACTGCCGAAAAATTGGAGCAAAGAATTAGGATTTTGGTATCCTTTTTTTTCAAAACTAGTTCATCTAGTTTTTTACAGCACAAATCCAATGTATATGTACTGAAAAAGTGACTCATGACCTTTTTTCACTCTTGAGATTATTGCAGCATCCCCAAGGTCATGTGATCAAAATTCAGATGCTTGGCAACTGACTCGTATTCAGGACAGTTGCAGTGTCCTGGGGTCATGTGATTACCTCTTGCGACCTTCTGACAAGCAAAGACAATGGGGAAGCCAAATTCACTTACCAACCATGTTACTAACAATTCACTTAATTGTGGCAAGAAAAGTCATAAAATGGGGCAAAATTCACTTAACGCTTAAATGTCTGTCTCACTTAATAACAGACATTTGGGGCTCAGTTGTGGTTGTAAGTCAAGGACTACTTTGCATTGCATTGCATTGTAGATTGTCTAGAACAGACCGAAATAGAGGGTGCTACTAAAAAAATTAAGGTCCTATGCCATGAAGGTTTTATAGATGAACACCAGCACTTTGAATTGCATTCAGAAACCCACTTGTAATTGAGGCATTTGGCTATCTGAATGGCATGCTTATACTTTATTAATTTAATTAATCAAATTTTCTGGGTCTACAAAATGCAGTGCAAATATTGTAGTTTAAATATGGTTACCTTATTTGTGGTTCAATATGTTGCGCAAACACAGTCAATATATTAGTAAAACAGTATACTTAGCAGAAGAGCATTAAAAAGTCCTTTCATAACACACTAATGCATTGCTAATATGCTAGGCAATCATGCTTTTACTTATTAAGGAATATTTTCTTGCTTGCACTGGATGTCAAATTTTGAATGCCGTGAAGTTACAGACATTTATTTTATTCTGTTTTCTTGTCTGCTTTTCATTTAGGCTGAGGTAGATTCAATTGATGCTCTAGAGAAATATCGTGGAAAATGTGAGCCAACGTTTCTGTTTTATGGAGTAAGTTAGTATCAAAGGCCAATTTCATTAGACAATATTCCCATCAGTATTATTTTGTCTAATAAACCTTGCTGCCAGATTTGTTTAAAAGACAGTACATATACTTCCAGAAATATCTAACATGCTCATTTGATTATTCTCATTAATTTGTATGTAGAGATGTATATTATAGCCGGAAAGCATAGCATCATATATGTATTATCCTGATAAGCAACTTGTATATATCATAGAGCTCCCACTAACAGGGATATTGTATTAATTGTACATTATGTTTTATGTTATGTTATGTTATGTTATGTTATGTTATGTTATGTTATGTTATGTTATGTTATGTTATGTTATGTTATGTTATGATAACATTTCATTATTTTAATACATTTTACAGTTATTGCATTGGCTATTGCTGTTGCTTTTGTACACCATTTTGTCAAATATATGGGGCTTGTCAAGAATTTCTTATAAAGAATTACATCCCTATTTATTTATTTATTTGATTTATATCCACTTTTATTTTTCTACAACTCCCCATGATATACATAATATTCCCCCCTGGGTTTTGCTCTACAACAGCAATTTTGTGTGTCAGGTTGGACTGAGAGAGAGTGACAGGCCCAATGTTACCCAGCTGGTTTCCATACCCAAGGGAAGTCTAGAATTCCCCATGGTCTCACAATTTCTAACCCAACCATTATACCAAACTGGTTCAAATAAATTTCCTTAATTTATCATGAGATTGTCAATTAATTTATCACCAGTTAAATCTGCAGACATTTATATATTAGCCATTTAAAAAAAAATACGAAAAAGATTTACATTCTTCAGTTTTCTTTCTTTGCCTTATTTTCTCAATCTTCTGCTAAATTTGACTTTTTTCCTCATTTGATATCTGTACATATTAAGAATGCAACTCTTTCAATGTTTATAATAACACATTTTAAATGGTAAAATCAGATCAGAAGTCTTCTATTGACAATAACAGTGTATGCGTGTTGACATGAACTGCATTTGTAAAATACAGTCACCCCTTTCTGTTTGAATTCAGGGGGGAGAATTGGTAGCTGTTGTAAGAGGTGCAAATGCACCATTGTTACAGAAAACCATTCTGGAGCAGCTGCAAGCAGAAAAGAGAGTCTTGAATCATGGAGCAGAGAGAGTGGTGGTAATTACAAGCCTTGTCATTTAATTACCATTAGAATGATAGTGCCCCTTGAGAGGAATGGAGATTCTTGAAAAAGTATTCTTCTTGTCTAGAAGAATAGTGGTATTTTTAATAATGGCTGATATTGGAGCTATAGTTCCTAGGAATCATGGGATAGGAACTCTTGAATTCTGGTAGTAGTTCAGAATGTTGGATTGAATCCTGTCTCAGAGCTTACATTTAAATTAAATTTAATTAAATTTAAATTAATTACATTTAGTATGGTTGGGGGTAGTGCTATTGGCAGAATTCTCTAAGTCACTGCTGCTATTCAAGGTTAAGTTTGTGGCCCTACCTAGCGAGGTAATTACTTAAGCTTGTCAATAAACCCAGTGCATTTTACAGTAAATATATGAAATACTTGCATTCTGTAGGAGAAAAAAGTCACTAATTAAAAATAGCTGCAATTGATTGCTGAAAAAACAATGTTTGCTTTCTAATATAGTCTATAATTTGCAATATCTTACATAATGAGGCTAGATCCATGATGAAGCCCTCCCTAAACAAGAAGAAAGTGCCACTGTTGGAGAAGGGCTGGAAGAAGACAGTGAGAGTGAAGAAGCAGGTACATTGTTCTAATTTATACAGAGAGACATAACCACTGTCATTAAAATTCTACCTAGTGTGGAATTCTTTCAGATACTTCAGGTTCTATCGATGTTCTTGCTACTTAAGCTTTCCCCCACCCAGTATCCTCCAGATGTGTGTTACATGCTGGCTGGAAATCATGAGTGCTGCAGTCTAAGATGCATTGAAAATATTTAAAAAGTCATTTTTACACAACAGTATTATTCCTCTCAGGGATCATACTTGCAAAAAAAATAGCTTAGTATCAGTTATCAGCAGTTATCTCATCTGAGCTTTGAATGTTTTGTACTAATTTTTCATTCAATTGTTTCTGATTGAAAAGCTAAAAATTATTTTCATAGCAAGGAAATATCTTGTATATGATATCTTATTGTCTATATTGTGCAACTCTCTTACAGACAACCTGGATCAGTGATTTTCAGCAGAAGAGAACTGATGTTGTTGTTTTGTAGATCTAATAGATATCCAGTAATGAATCAAATTTGGTTTGCAGAACAGAATTGTTATAATTAATCTCATAGCATCTTGGTTTTATCAGTGGAATTAAATTTCTAACTAATTTTCTAGCATTATTTTCATAGGGTCTGAAATATTGGTCAAAATATAAATTCACAATATTTAATTATCATAATAGTTCTGAGGTCCTTGGAATTCTCTGAACTTGGTTGTTTGCTTGTAGACATTTCATTAACCAACTAAGTAACATCATCAGCACTACTAAGTATAGAGTTTGCTCCCTGTTTATATACAATAGCTTGCCCTGCCAATGTTGGTAGTGGTTTCTTGATTAGGGCAGTGCTTTTTTTGTAAAAAAAAAAAAAAAAGGTGCTGGAACTCACACACGTCATACAACCCGCCTTGCCTATCCTACAAGGTTCCATCCAAAAAAGGTGCCAGAACTCCGTTCTGGGCGTTCTATGACAAAAAAAGCCCTGGATTAGGGTATTGTTTTTCAACCCAGTACTTGCATTCTGAAAGTGAGGTGACAGTTCTGACAGTTGGTCAAAAGAGGCTGTCAAAGTCCTGTCCCAGTATCTGAAGCATGTTGGCCTAGACGGGGGTAAAAACATTTTCAGCTCAATCCTACCAGATTGAGTGGCTGCAGGTACTGAAGCCACCTAGTTCCAGGATATTCCATCTTTGATCATTCAAAGATGATGCACCGCCTGGGGGTCTCCATGAACTTACAACTCCTATTCAGTGAGAAGTTGGGCAGTGAGAGAAGGAAGGCTTTTGCACCGCTTCATCTTGTGTACCAGCTGTACTTTTTCTGGATCAGGAGGTATTCCTTGGTTTGTTCATGTGACACCTCGGCTTTGCAAACTGATTATCAGTTTACTTTCACTGCAATTCAAGATGTTAGTTACGACATAAAGCCTTACATGGAATGGGGCCTGGTTACCACTGTCTATTTTCCATAGTATCTATTTGGCCAAATTGGCCTGACAGGGTCAGCATTCTTTAGGTTTCTTTGAAGAAACAATGCAATACATCCAGGAAATGTACCTTCTGTGTCAGTTTCTGTGCCTTCTACTAATGTGGTAAGACCATAAACTTTGTTGTTTTCCTAGGCTTTGGAGTAGAGTGATTAGAGCCTGCTCCACTGGATGTTAGATACTGGTAGAAAGTTTTGGAGTGTCTGTCAGATTTGCCATCTTCTTCTTTTTTAAAAATATAACATAGTTTGGTTTTGTTGTACAGGTAGTCCTCGAATTACAACCACAGTTCAGCTCAAAATTTCTGTTGCTAAGCTAGACAGTTATCAAGTGAGTTTTGCCCCATTTTACAACCTTTTTGCCACACTTATTAAGAGAATCACTGCAGTTGTTAAATGAATTATACAGTCATTAAGTGAATCTGGCTTCTCCCATTGACTTTGTTTGTCAGAAGCTGGCCAGGAAGGTTACAAATGGTGATCCCATGACCATAGGACAGTGCAATTGTCATAAGTAAACACTAGTTGTCAAGCACCCAAATTTTGATCACTTGATCAGGGAGATGCTGCAATGGTCATAAGTGCGAATACCGGTCATAAGTCACTTTTTTCAGTGCCATTGTAACTTCAATGATCACTAAACAAATGGTTGTAAGTCGACAATTACCTGTATGTGATTTTATATTTTATAGATATATATTTGCCTCAAGTCACTTGGAGTTGGGTGGCACCAAAATAAATAAGTAAATATGTATATGTTTTAAAGTTATATTTTTCTCTCATACTTTATTTGTAAACAATAAACAAGTGCAAATGATTTATATATGCTTTTCTTTTCCACATTTTTCATTTATTGTTATGCTATATTACATCAAAAACCAGAGAGAACACAAACGATCATTTTATTAATTCCAAAGGTAGCAGATTACAGCGAGTTACTGGTCTCCTACATCCAGAATGCCCAGTATAAAAGCTACAAAGTTACATTGCTCTTATAAAGAACTTTGATCAAATATAATTTCGGTATGCCCCTATATACCAGTAGAAGATCCTAACTATGAATATGGGGTATGCCAGAAGAAACGTAAATGGGAATGTAGTGGACTTGACGTATTTAAGCAGTACATGTGTGAGAAAACAAGACCTGAGATTAAGAATGATCAAAAATGATTGGGTGCTGAATGAATGTGGATTAATTCCCAAAGTGAATGACCAATACAAAAGAAAAACATTAAGATTGGTTGGTGAAGATCTGAACCACAAAATAAACATGTGAAACAGGAATGAATAGGTTGAGGAGATCCTCAAATGATAGCAGTGTGAAATATAAAAAACAAATAGTAGTATATAGATACCATTTTGTAGTCCTAACAAGGATTCCTAAAGCAGTATACATACTGAAAAAAGAATTGAATACAAGGAAAATGAAGAATATTGATTTAAAACAGTTCATTGCTTACTGAATGTTACAAGTACTTGCATAAAAATGATTTATGTTGACGTAGATGCATATAAAATTAAAATGCACCAATATATTAATTATGGCATTGTTTGAATCCATTCCCATTCAGAGAAATAACTGAAATTGAAATCCATTGAAAGCAATGGGATATATTTTCAGGCAATTTTAAGTACAGGATGGCATCCTGAAATGGTTTTACGTTATCACTAAGGGAGACAGAATAGGCTTTGTAGCCCAAGATGTGCCCCTTTTATTGCATACATTTGTAGGTACTGTATCACTGCATTGCAAAAACTGTCTTTCAAATGCCTTATGCAGGACGCGGACCGGATGTGTCACGCGCAGGCCACGCCCACCCCGGCTCCGCAAAGGCAAAAAAAGTCGCGATACGTCACGTGACGCGATCGCGTTTGACACCCGTGCCTTATAGCTGTTTTGGATTGGCAAGGGTAAATTTCACGCAAGCGCTTGCATCTTTCGTTGATGCCAGAAGAGGGTGCTATATAAACTAGGCTCGGTTGATATGAGTCAGGGTGAGCGCTTTAAGAACGCGCCGGGCGAAACCAGCTTCTTCGACTTCGGGCGGAAGTGAAGCCTGGAAAGGGTCTGGGGGTGTGGCAGACGCTGCTGCTACCACAACAACCGAGTGTCCAAAGAGGTTCCTGGGAAAGTGGTTTGGTGAGTCGGCTTTCTTCTCTGCTCGCTGGGGGACAGGGGACCGGATGGCTCGCTGCCGAGGCAGGGAGCCGTGGCTGGAGGGAACCGCGAGTTTTTCTCCCGAGAACTCGAGAGCAGTAGCTCTCTGTCGGTAGCCGGGGCACCCAGGAAGCCGAGCCTTTCATGTAAAGCAGCGGACCTTCCTTTAAAGCGGCTGGAAGTGCCACGTTCTGTATCGCTCGTTTGTTATGTATTGCATTTATTATTTTTATTTCCTTGCAGTCTTTTCATCCTTCATGGTCTTGCATGGCTGAAGCTGGTTTACGCGTTGTTGATGCTTTAACAATGGATTCTTACATTCGGCGGGTGATTGGATTGAATGGCCTCTAAAGTCCATTCCGAGCCTTATACTCTGTAATAAAATGATTCTGTAAAATCAGATGTTTTTAAAACATGGTGGAGGAATATCTATTCGTGTGTTTAAATCTCTTAAGTAGTGTTGAAGGAAAAGTCTTCATCATGGTTCAGTCCAAGCTGGGAATAAACAACATGGTGACTGCTTTAGAAAGAAGGTTGCAGTTTATTGAAGAGGAGAGCCAGACAGAAAGATGGCTCTGGAAGAAAAGAGAGAGAGAGAGCACATGTAGGGAGTGGGTTGTTATACCTTTTTGAGCCTTTTGTTTGGAGTTGTTCCTGTGGCATAGTGTCCAATATTCTGTGCCAATTCTTCTTAAATGTTGGATGTCACTTTGAGCTACCAGTCAGGTTTTGAAGCACATGCCTCTCAAAATTTTTCACACCCATGGTCTTCATCAGTGCATAACCACTGGCTGCCCATTTTCAAGGGTTGTTTCCTGCCTTAGCTCTTAGTTCAGTGCATCCAGGTTTGTAATGTCCAATTGAGGTTAGCCAGTATGCAAGCCAGGCTATTAAATTTTCTTAAATTGCACATAGTGATCCCTAGGACTCCCAATCTGAGTCCGCCAGTGCAAGATATTCAGGGGGTTAGGTTTGGAGATCTCTTTTCTGCTACTTCCCTAGTTAGGGCATATGAATTGCAAATCACCTGAGGGGGGCTGGTTCTGTCCCTTAGAATTTTGCTAGAAGTTGTTCCTACAAAGTTTTAATGACACAGGGCAAGAATCAGGTTGGAGCTTTACTAAAGGTAGGTGATGTTGTGGCTCCGTCTTGTGAGCCCCTCTTATCGGAGGAAGAAGACTCCGAACATGAAGGAGAGGAGATGGCCAGGCCTCCCTCTCTAGGACCCTCCTCTTTGGCAATGCCTCAGGTGTCTCCCGATGGAGAAGAGAGTGACCAGGAGCCAGGTGGTTCTGAGATTGGCCAGGAGCCAGGTGTTTCGGATAGTGAGGAAGAGAAGTTGTGGCTGGATCCATGCCAGCGTAGGAGTGACAAGCGTGCGCAGCAGAAAAGGAGACGTGCCAGAGATTAAGCTGAGTCACTGGACCACACCCCACAGGCTATAAAAGGGAGGTGGTGGCTTTTTGGACTCTGTGACGGACAAAGCTGAATCTCTGGCGAAGTAGTTTGCTGTGGACTTAATTTTCTAACTGTGTGTATCGTTTTTGTTCTCTGAGTAAAAGTCTTGGCAGGCAGCTACAGAGCTGCTGCCAAGTTTTCTTATCTGTGGATTGAAGTGTGGAGAAGTTCTTTAACCCTCGGCTGGCTGTTTGGGTGTAGGTGTCCGACGGGGACAGAACAGGTGAAAGAGATAGACTCAGTGTGATTATGAATGGTGTGTGTGTGTGTGTGTGTGTGCAGCTACTAATACAAACAGGCAATACAAACATTCTGGATAAATTTCCCTCCCACCAGATAGAAATCCAAGGGGGTCAAGACTTGCTGAGCCTTTTGTTTGAAGTTGTTCCTGTGGCATGAACTTTGACCTGAGTCTGAGTGTGCCTTTCTGGTATTCTGATGGTGGTGGTTAATCCTATTATTTCCCAAAGGTCAATCCTGCTTCCCTGTGGCTGTGGCTGATGACTCTTAGATTTTTGGTGTGAGGGATTGTTGATTCTAGGGATCTTTCTTCCTAATCCCAGTTTCCTGACTCCAGTCTTTCTGACAAGATTATCACATCTGCAATTCTGCAGACTTGGTTTCTGTTTGGGATAGAGAGACTTGGGGGCGGGGTTGGTTTCTGCTTTTGA